ATACACAGGACTCTCCCAATAGAAGGTCAGCCCCTAAGGTCAGCGTCATTAGCTGTTACCCCTTCTTTTCTCCTTTTCTGTCTCACTCCCTATATCTTTCTTTCTCTTTCTTTTTAAAATTTTTATCTTTTTAGAGAGATTTTTTTCTGTAGGGCATGTGCACTCTCTGGAGAGAGAGAGAGACAGAAAATTAGCAATCCTTCCCCCACCAAGGGGGGCTGGCCATTTTGTAATCCCTTTTCCCTCATTTTCTTCTTAGGGTCTTGGGCACACACGCACATGTGCCCAGTGTGAGTTTCAAGCAGGTCCAGGGCTTGGTCATATGGGAGTTCAGCAATGTAACCATTATGCTATCAGCTACTCCTGAAACTTTGTATTTCTAAGAAAAAGACCAATGCTACAGAGAACTTGACAGCCCCTTTGTATACAATAATCTTGAGATGAAAATTTCACTAAAATCAATCTTTTCTCTTCATCATCTACTTGTCATCCAAACTTGGTTTACCTGGAATAACACCAGTGAAATTAGAGGTTTTCTAGGCTGCAGTAAGAGTTCTTTCTAACAACATGTTTCTCTTTAAAACCACCTGTTGGGTCAACAGAAAAGTCACGATGTATTTTTGCATAGGAGAACAAAAATCTGCTGTAACTTTTCTGACAAACCAATATTTCAGTGTAACTGCCTTGTTAAAAGTGTCCTTTTCTTCCCTCACACCTCATTTCAACAGATTTTTGTCCATTAAAACCAGTCAAATATAGGTTAATACTTTTTGTTCTTGGTTTGACATGGGACTACCAGGAGATGAAGTACATAAACAAATCGTGGTCAGGCTGGAAGGCAGCATGTGGAGAAGATGACAGAAAATGCTGCTGAGGGATTCGTTTCCATCATGTTGCACACTTAAGCGGGGGCCAGAGAACCAAAATTGGCTTGAGTCAAAACAAAAACAAAAACTCAAAGTTTTGAATGAGGCTATTGGGATTAATAATAATGTATTGTGGGGAGAAGGGTCTCAGGGTGATTTCCATGCTGGCCTCTCCAGGTGGGTGGGACTGCTGTTTTCCCTCTCGTGTGGCTTCTCAGTCAGTGTTTGAAAGAACGAGAAGGAGTGCAAGCATCGGTCCTTACTCATACTCTGTCTGGTAGGCTTATTTCTCCCAATCGTGTAGTCCTAAAACAAATACCTCGGATTTCACAGAGGACTTAGGCCAGCTGGAACCTGAAAAGCCTGTGTTCATAAGGTCCTTCCTTACTCACACATGGAATAAAGCCCCCTGGGAGAAAAGCTGTCCTGAGGACTGTTCAAAACTGTCCAGGCTGTCACCTGTGTCCACATAACTAAACTCTTCAGGCACTGTTTCCACTAGTATGGGGGTGTGTTCCTTTTATTAATTTTTAGATGTAAGGCTATAACCCTGACTCCCTCATAGTTACAGGTGCACTAGTATAAGCTTACTCTGTAAAACATCACATTCTAATTTTCTCCTCACCCTAGAAAGGACGGTGTTGAGGAAGTGTAAGGTAGATACTTACCTGAGTGTAATGGCCACAGACTTTATTGCATCTCCGTGTCCTGAAGTCATAGTACTGGATTTCTTTGTACCAATTTATGATGGCTGAAGACACGGAAAACAAGGACAGAGACCCTGTCCAGATGTTTTCTCCCAGGGAAGTGAAGTTCGGGTGCAGCTTGTGGGGTGGGCCCAGTCGCGGATTATGTCCAAACTTACAATTTTTTGCCCATGCTTTTGAAATTCGGGATAGCTCTGGGTCCCAAGTCTGCAAAAATAAAGATTAAACAATAGAGAGGCTTAACAGTGGAACCTGTTGCTTGACAATGTATGTAGAGTGAGCAGAGGGGGTGCTAGAAGGGAAATGAGGTGTGATGACAAGGAAAGAAGAAGAACCACTGTACTTGGGTCCTCTACAAATACACACTTCAAGCATTGACAGGGATAGAAATGTGATCATCTAGTTTCATGGAAGTTAGAATCTAAGTGAGGAAGACGGACTAATATTTCTTTCTTTTTTTTTAATTAATTATTTTATTTAACTTTATTAATTATGCATTTCAATTTGACCAGAGAAAGAGAGAGAGAGAGAGAGAGAGAGAGACAGACAGGAGAGATAAAGTGAGAAAGCAGGCTGCTCCCAGGTTTGAGACTTGAACCATTATCAGACGTGAGCGTGCAGTGTCTCTTGATTTTATAAGATTATTCTTTTTTTGGGTGGGGAAGAAAGGAGATATATATATATATATATATAGTTTGTTTTTGCTATGCGGCGTGTGTGCATGCCAGAGAAAGAGAGAAAGTGAGAAATCATCCCCAGGGGGATGGCCATGTTGCAGTCCCTTTTCCTCCACTCCCTTTCAGGATTTTAGACATGAATGCACATGTGCCTGGCATGATTTTCAAACTGTTGGGTCCAGGACTCAAACTATAGAGTCAGCCAAATGCGATCCAGCATTTTAACCTTCATGCCACCTGCTGGCCATATGTGTGTGTGTATATATATAGTATATACATTGTATGTGTGTATATTATATATATATAATGTGTCTGCGTGTGTGTGTGTGTGTGTGTGTGTGTGTGTGTGTGTGTGTGTATATGTTTTTGTTGTTGTTTTAAATTTTTTGACAGGGTCTCATCATGACACAGTCCTCTCATTCCAGCCTCCCTCTGAGCTAGGACTTCAGATGCATGCCACAGAATCCAGCCTGTTTAGGCTGGGTCAGGAACCAAATCCAGGCCTCCCATGTGGCCCTAGCCTTGAGTACCAGTGTCTTAGCAGTACACAGCATTGAGGCTGAACATATTTTTTAAAACTTATTAACTACTAAAGACCATGCACCATGGATGAAGAAGTTTAGAAACGTTAAAAACCAGCTCAAAGCCACAGATTGGGGATTCAAACCCAACCCTCACTGAATCAAAATTTCATTTTTTTTTGTAGAGGTTTTCGCTATAGGGTGCACGCGCTTGCCAGACAGACAGAGAGAGACATAGAGACAGAAAGCGAGAAATCACCCCCCAGGGGGGATGGTCATGCCGCAATCCCTTCTCCATTCTCCTCTCGGGATCTTGGGCATGTACGCACACGTGCCTGGTGTGAGTTTTAAGCCACCGGGTCCAGGACGTGAACTGCGGTCAACTACGTGGGAGTCCAGCGACATAGCCATTACGCTAACTGCTGGTTCCCCCAAATTTCATTTTTTTCTTTAATGCCATGCTGCCTTCATGTTGGGTACTCTGCAGGCAATAAAGAAAAAAGTAAACTTAGAGACAAGAAGAACTAAAAACAACAAAAAAGAACCTTGACAATTAAATTAACAGGGAAGAAAATAAGGGAAGTGGACGCTTTCAGCAACCCAAGAAAAGAAAGTGTTGAAAAAGAGAAATAAAATGTGCTTGCGGAGTTTGCTCATAAGAGAGTTGAGTAGAGAGAGCTGAACTGGATGTGTTTTGATCACAGATTATGAGTTTACTGAACACACTCATCACAATTAAAAAAAAATCATTTGGGATTACCAAGAATTACCCCACTGTCAATACACATTAGCTGTTTTAGACTGACAATGCCACAAACATTGCTATTTCCCTTACCATGTATAGCATATCACTGGCCGTTGGATATACCTCAGATCGCAACTTGTTATGAATCCAAACACAGTCCTTGATGAAATCTTCATTTTCAATATCTGGCAAAGTATTTGCTGTATATGAATAACTGGAGACTAAAGAAAACATCCAGGCTGTTGCAGCAAGCGTGACTTGAACGTTCAGATCCTTGAGGCTGCCAAACAGAGCCATTGCAGATTCAAGGGTGTGCCTGCCTCTCAGAGTTCTCAGCCGGCAGCCTTACGCACCAGAGCCGACTTCAGCTTTGAAAAAGCAGAAAGCAGATGAGTTCATCACAAGTTTTAAGAAATAAGTATCTCCATATATGGTTTGCACTCCATTTTGCCCTCTTAACCCTGTCTTTTCAGTGCTCAGTGACACAGCACCTATTACAACACAGATTTTTACGAAGCTGAGTCAGAGTTGCTTTTGAGTTGGATTGTATTTCCAAAGGAAATTCTGAAGCATCCAGAAACAACAGTCTCCAACTTTTATGAAGGTGGTGGTGATGAAATAAAAACAGCTCTTTCTTTTATAAATGCCTTGCAAAATACTTTTAAAACCTGTTTTTTTTTTTAGTCATGTGAGTACACAGCAGTTGAAATATCTGGTTACCAGCATAACTTGACCTAGAATTAATTCACAATGATAGAAATGTGTACGTGTGTTTGGCACACATACGCACGTGTACCTGGAATATGCAAGAAAGAGGAAGCAGAGAGAGAACAGTAGAACATGCACTCGTCTCAAATTCAGATTTTAGTTCAAATTCTGCCCCTAACTAGCCGTAAGACTGTGAAGAAGTTACCAAACTCTAAGCCTCAGTTGCCTACTGAATGCAGTTAATGGACCTTTTCTACTTCCTTAATCATACAAGTGTAGGAGGAGCAATGAACGAGCTATTATCTTCATTTGACACATGTGAAAACTCTTGCTCTATGTATTCATCTTAGTAACATAGTCACTGCCCTCTAGGAGCTAAGAATGGCAAGAGCTGTGCGGTGGTGGAGACAATGGTGGTTGTAACATGGGCTCTTGGAAATCTGGTTTGAAAAAAAGCACAGAGAAGTATGGACTCATCAAAGAAGTTGCTTACCCCATTCTGGAAAGAGGAGAGATGGCTCCTACACACGGCAGGGTGAGTTCTTTGCTGAGGCTACAATCAGGTAGGTGTTGGTCAGGATGAAAAGAGCTGGAGAGGGCCAGCTGGTGGTGTGGTGGTTATAATATGGATCTTGTTTGCGAAAAACTGCTTGAAAACAGGAAGTATTTCTGTTTCACTTTTGTAAATGGCCTGCTTGCCAGTTTCTATAGGAACTTGGAAATATTACAAACCTGTTTTGTGACTCTTCTGGTTTCCTTTGCTTGCAACATCCGTGACTCCTCACTATCTAACACCTGAAACTTCACGAAGTCGGGGCCCCAGACTTAGGCATACAAACTCCTTTGGGTCTGCAGAGACCATGAAGCTCAACAAGGAACAGAGCAGCACTTGAAACAAAAAATGTCCTCTGGCTCAACAAGGGGCAGAGCAGCACTTGAAACAAAAAATGTCCTCTTCTCTGAGTGGCGCTTGGTTTCTCTGGGGGGTCTGTTTTCTGCAACAGTTAAGGCGCTGGATCCCACCTGGCCAACTCTGTGGCCTGTGTTCCAAACCTAGCAGCTGGGAAAACACACTCAAAATACTGAAAGGGTAATGAAGGAGAAATTGCTGCATGGCCATCCTTCCAGGAAGTGCTTTCTCACTCTACTCTCCCACACCCCCCACCTCTCTGGCCACATGAAATTGAAAAAGAGAGAGAGAGAGAGAAATGAAGAGATGAGTGGAGGGACCAGCAGTTAGCATAATGGCTATGTCGCTGAACTCCCATGTAGTCGACTGTGGTTTGCGTCCCGGACCCAGTGGATTAAGACTCACGCCGGGCGCATGTGTGTGCGCACCCAAGATCCCGAGAGGAGAATGGAGGAAAGGAGGAAAAGGGATTGGGGCGTGGCCATCCTCCCTGGGGGGGTGATTTCTCACTTTCTATCTCTCTGTCTCTGTCTCTCTGTCTGGCAAGCACATGTGTAGAGATAAAAAAAAAAAAAAAAAAAAAAATCCTCTCCAAAAAAAAAAAGAAATTGGGGTATAGGAACTGCATAACTCAATGTAAAGTTGTTGCACACATGGTGCCATGGCAAGAACAGTGAGTGAGCCAGGGCACGTGTCTCTCTCTGTAGATACAATTTCAAGTATTGATTCTGGCCGTAGGAAATATATCTGGTTTCATGGAATTCAGAATCTAAATGGTACTTTCATCATAGTGGGGGAGAAAAAAGTGTGTTAGATCAGGGATGACTTCTGGATTTTCCCAAGTATTTGGATTTTATTATCAAGGCGATAGGAAGTTATTAGAAAATTTAGGCAATGGGTCAGGTATGGTATGGTTTAGAAAATGTATTTTAGAAAATTGTTAGATATGAAAAATACAATACAGTGGAGGAGATATCTCTAATGGAAATGAAATATTACATAATATTATCAGAATTATTGCTGCCACACAGACATAACTTTACAAAATACTCATATAATTTCAAATTTTGTTCAGACCGCTTAATTTCTAGGATAAACATCTTGTCTGGGGCTCAGAGGCAACTTTTCGATCGATGTAGTGACTATCAACAGCAAGACCTTCTCTAGTTTGAAGTGGTAACCGCGCACAGGGGTTCATTTCTATTTTTTCTTGATTCTCTGTGATCTAGATTGTCTGGATTTTGAACACAAGAACAAGAAAAGCGAGACTGCTTAAGACGCACGTTCAGTGACATCCTGTGGTTGCTAGAGCAACCCTTGATGTGCATAAACCAGTTCTAAGAATAAATGATTTTATCTAATAGTAAAATGAATTAATATTTTTTCCATTTTCCTGACAATAATCAGCAAGAGGGAAAGCCTCCTATCCCAGAGATTATTTTGACATGATTCTGTAGAGCAGGTTAGCTCCTCACAGCCACAGCACTCAAACTTCTTGATTCATGCTACATTTCTGCAGAGAAGGCTCACAGACATGGTTTGCCGCAGAACCACAGGAACTTTATTTGAAAGCAAACACAAAACTCCGCTTCATAGAAGGCTTATGGCTTCACTATGCATTTTTCACTTTTTACTCTGAGTCTTTACCACAATCTTTATAAGTATGTGTGTGTGATAAGAGAGATTTGGTTTTAGTGCTTATCCCAAAATGGTGAAATTTCAGGATTTTTTTTCTAAAGAATCATTTATTTAAAATATTTTTTATTATTACGTTTGCTAAAGGGCACACGAGCTCACCAGAGACCGAGTCAAAGAGAGAGAGTGAGAGTGAGAAAGCAAGCCACCAGGTCTGGGACTCGAACTGTAGTCGACCCTATTGCAGTCTATCATCTTAATCACCACACCACCTGCTGGCCTCATTTTTTGTTTGTTTGTTTCTTTATTTTCTTACTCTTAAACATTTAATCATTATACATTTTGGCAGCATGCAAAACGAATTTTCCCAGTTTGGATACTCCATATATTAGTCCAAAGATACTACCATACACATTATTATCAACACATGATTTTCCATTTTTGGGTCTATTAAATGTTTTGCTTCTTCTTTTCCCTTGATTCTCTCCATATCAGCCCACCATTTCCTATCCTTCTCACATACGAGACATGGAACACCTGACAAACCCATTCGTAGATAAAAGACTAAAGGAACATTGGTAACTACAGCTTGATTATGGTTATCATTGCAACATGGACTATGCCTTCCATCCCAGCACGTTCCCCTAATGTCCCTTGTAGAAGGTAACACTTTGTGTACCTAGAGATTGTCATATATATTATGTGGATAAAAAGCCTATCCTTGTTATATGGCTCACACATATCTATTTAGAGAAGTGCTGAGCTTTTATTTCTGGGGGAGAAATAATGTAGAATTCCCATTCTACCCCTTCTGATTGGGTTCTATAAACATTTATGCTCCCTGAGTCACTAGCCACTTTATTTTATTGGGACTGTTGGTGGGGGTGGGGTTGTATAAAATTAAAGGAGTCAGAAAGAGTGAAGGAATATAATATTTATCAACCAAACATGTCACTCTTCTATTGTCTGTGTGATAATACTGTAACTTGATACAGGAAGCTTCATTTGTACAACAGTGTGTACAAATGAACTCTAATCCATATCCTGGAAGCAGTTACTACTGAAGTACTCTAATCAGGAATTCACATGCCAAAGGTGGTCTTAGAACTTTAGATATGGTTATGGAAATTGACATCAGAAAGTTTGTTAGTCAGGATAGAGCACGTTAGAGAATATTTTTCACTGACAAGATGAATGATGTTCCATGTTCAAAATGGGTGGCTGGTAGGAAGATTGACAACACTCTCCCACCATTGCATAACTGAAATGTAAAGAAGCAGCCAGCGCAGATCTCTAATGCCCTCAGTGCAGTGTTCAAGGGAATTTCAACCTCACCAAAGACTCCTGTCCTTGCCCTGACCCCAGGGCTGGCCAGTCCTATCTGTGGAATGTCTATTGAATGAACTTCTCCTGCAGCATATCTTGGAGTGTCTAAGGGCAGAGAACAGAACTGTGTTTTTGTAACTTTGATAAAGAATGTTAGGACACCAGAGACAGTGTGGGATTCTGGTAGTCAGTTAGCTAGTAATGAGCAGCCGCCCTAAGAAAGTAACAGAAGGACACATGTCACATCAATCACAATTTATCAGGAGTTACAACCAGACTTTCCATGAAAGTGACTTCTTCCCACCCAGCTCCTGGCGCTGGGAAGGCAAGGCAAATACCGTTTTTCTTTCTTGGTACCTAAGGAAGACACGTAGGGATGATTGTAAATTTCCCTCTTATCATTCCTCATAAATACAAAAAGACCCAACCAGACATTTTGGTCAACATCCTGATTCCGAATGGGGCAATAAACTAATTGGGCAGTTCATCCTCATAAGGATGCTCCTATGGGCATGGCTCACACCGGGCATGCGCAGTTAGGTAATCAAATTCTGCAAATTCTTCACCTGTGAGAGAGCTGCGCCAGTACAAGCTCACGAAGAAGCCCATGAATTCAAACAAGAGACATAGATAGTGTGACAGACCTCCTTCTGTTAAATATTTATTATCACCTCTGGTAATAAAAACAACACCTAAACCAGTTCCAAAAGCAGCAGTTGCTACCTAGCAACCTGCCCGCCCAAAAGTCTTTTGGGTGTACTTCTTTTCTAAAACCTTTCTTTCCTATTAAATTCTCTATTCTACCTACTTTCATTGTGCCTGTGGCTTTATTTTGCCCCTAGGGACAGGTCTCTAGTTTTAGTGATCTGGATGCAAAGAACCAAGAATTTTATACAATGCAGATCAACACTCTCCCATCCTATGACAGGAGGAGGGTGAGAAATGATGGAAGGTGTGAGGGAGGGAATCAAGGGGAGAAAAGAAAGAAGCAAAACATTTAAGAAACACAAAATGGAAAATTATCTGAAAACAATATGTATGGTAGTATCTTTGATTGAGTCAATATACAGTGTATTCTGAATGGGAAAATTCACTTTGCATGCTGTGATGATACATTAGAAACATATATCTGTGTGTGTGTGTGTTTGTGTATTTAAAATATATACATATATTCATATATACATATGTGTGTATATGTATATATATATTTTTTCTATTATTTTATAAGTATGGTTTTGGTTATTATAATTCTTCACAAATATTTTGGAGGTATACAGTGTTCCCTCAAATGGAAGCATCATAATTTATATAACACATTGTTGAGTATTCAGATTCCTTTTCATTTTAAAAAATTATCAATAATAATGCTGTGCATATCTTTATATGTGGCATATTTCATGTTTTGTAGGATGGATTCCTAGAAACAGAATTACTAAGTAACAGGGTATGAGTGTACACATTCCAGAGTACTCATATACCTACCCTCTTAGAACTTGTACTAATTTATACTTCTATCATTAGCATGTGGGCATTGAGACCATATTATTTCAAACATTGTAACCATAGGTATCTGTATGTTTATGACACATGTTTATGGGTCTGGCTGTGCATACTATTTAAAACATAATTGGACAGTACTTAAGTGGTAAAGATAGAGAATCTGCTCCAATAGGACAAGTGAGACCTCAATGTGGAGCCAAACTTGTGAACACAATAAAGACACCTGGAGATTTGTAGACAAGGAGCGGGGTGGAAGTTTGAGGGCTAAGGCTGGTGAA